TAAGTGATTTGTCTACTGTCCCACAAAACCAAGCATGGAATAATTGCAGAATGTGAACTCACGTTTTGATCATCATGCAGCTTTGTTGTTGTTGTTATGATTATAACTAATTCTTCTCAAATATTGCAATGATATTGTAGCAGTCACAATATACTCTATGAATCAGATAAACTAGTCCAAAACATGGGTTGGATTTTGTAGAAAAGGTAAACTTTTGAAACATCTTTCCCATTTGTAATGACTTCTTAGGTAAGAACATATAAATACTTATAAAATAGATGAAATGTGTTTAACATGAATATCATAACACTAAAAATAAATTTGTATTTAATTTTTAAATTCATTTTATACTTAGAATTTTGTAACATTTTTACTTTAATTATGAAACTCCTAATGAATAGGGTTTATAAATTGAAACTTTACCTTATTTTTATGATGAGTATTCTTTATTATTAGTATCTCATAGGTTTCTGGTGGTCTCCTTAGCTGTATGGTCTTTGAAGTGATGGAATAGAGATTGCGAATACACAGAAAGAATTAATATTTGTTTTAATCACTGTAAAATGGTACCTAAAACAGGGCTGGCCAGGATACTTTTTTTTTTTCCTCATTTTTTTCAAATTGTGGCAAAATACACAAAACATAAAATTCATCATCTTAACCATTTTTCAGTGTACAGTTCAGTGGTATTAAATATATTCATAATGTTGTGTAGTCTTCACCACCATCTGTCTCCATAACTCTTTTATTTTGTGAAATTGAAACTCTATATCCATTAAACAATAACTCTCCATTCATTCCCCACTCTTCCATCCCCTGTCAACAACCATTCTGCTTTCTTTCTTTATGATTTTTGGCTACTGTAAGTACCTCATATAAGTAAAATCATGTAGTATTTGTCTTTTAGAGACTAGCTTCACTTAGTGCAGTGTCCTTGTGGTTCATCTGTATTGTAGCATATGTTAGAATTTCCTTCCTTTTAAAGGCTGAGTAATTTTCCATTGTATTTATATAGTATGTCTACTTAACCATCAATGGGCACCTGGGTTGCTTCCATATTTTAGCTATTGTGAGTAATGCTGCTATGAACCTATGTGTATAAATATCTCTTTGAGACTCTGCTTTCAATTAAAAAAATTTTTTTAACATTTTATTTATTTTTGAGAGAGAATGACAGAGCGCAAGTTGGGGAGGGGCAGAGACAGAGAGGAAGACACAAAATCCGAAGTAGGCTCCAGGCTCTGAGCTCCACCACAAACTGTGAGATCATGACTTGAGCCAAAGTCAGCCACTTAACCAACAGAGCCACTCAGGCGCCCCTGCTTTCAATTTTTTTCTAAGTTTTTATTTTTATTTATTTATTTTGAGAGAGAGAAGGGGAGAGGCAGAAAGAGGGAGAGAGAAAGAGGCACCAGGGTGGCTCAGTCAGTTAAGCCTCTGACTCTAGATTTTGGCTCAGGTCATTATCTCCTGGTTTGTGAGTTTGAGCTCCACATTACACTCCATACTGGCAGTGTGCATCCTGCTTGGTTCTCTCTCTCTCTCTCTCTCTCTCTCTCTGCCCCTCCCCAGATTGTTCTAAGAAAATAAATAAACTTAAAAAAAAAAAATGAAGAGGAAGAGCAAGAATCCCAAGCTGGCTCTGTGCTATTAGTGCAGACCGTGACGGGGAGCAGGGCAGGAGGCTCGATCCCACAATCCCATGAGATCAAGACCTGAGCCCAAACCAATATTCCAATGCTTAACCCGCTGAGCCACCCAGCACCCTGTGCTTTCAGTTCTTGTGGGTATAAACCCAGAAGTAGAATTGCTAGATCATATGGTTAAATTTATTCCTGGGTGTGTTACTTTTTTTGATACAATTGTGAATGGAATTGTTTTCTTAATTTTGCTGCCTCATAGTTCATTGTTACTTTATGGAAACACAGCTGATTTTTATGTATTGATTTTATATCCAGCAACTTTACTGAATCCATTTATTTAGTTCTAGCAGATATTTTGTTGATGGTGTCTTTAGTAATTTGAGTCTTCTATGTCTCTCTCCCTTTTTTTAAAGTTTATTTGTTGTGAGAGAGAATGTGTGTGTGTGAGCAGAGCAGGAGCAGAGAGAAAGGGAGAGGGAGACTCTTGAACTTAGAAAGCATGTGATCATAACCTGAGCCGAAATCAAGAGTTGGATGCTTAACCAACTGAGCCACCCAGGCGCCCCTTTCCTCCTGTTACTGATCTCTAACTTCATCCCATTGTGCTCAGAGAAGATACTTTGTATGATATCTAGATTCAAATCTACTGAGACTTAATGTGTGCTTTAACATATGGCCTATTCTGGGAAATGTCCCATGTGCACTTGAGAGGAAGGTATATGCTGTTGTTGCTGGGTGGAGTGTTCTGCATATGTCTGTTAAATCTAGTTACTTTACTGTGTTGTTTAATTTCTGTTTCCTTGTTTATCTTTTGTCTGGTTGTTTTATCCAGTATTGAGAGTGGAGTATTAATATCTGTAATTATTATTGTAGAACTGTGTATTTCTCCCTTTGGTAAATGTCTTCAAAGGGTGTATTTCTTTAACTTTATTCAAGGAGATCATGTATGGGTAATGTATTATTGTCAGAAAAATACCATATAAAAAGTTATCTCATTTTAGTAAGTTGTTTTATTATCCCTCATCTTGATCTTGTAAACTTTTAACCTTACATTAAATCCATAAAGGGAAACTTAAAAATAGAAATAGAGCAGTGTTACTGTTCCAAGGTAAATATTTAATTTAATAATATGTGTATAAATAATTATTTATTGATAGTTATTTAATAACTTTTAGGACATAGTCTGATAAGAAATTATTAGTTTTTTTCCAGTCCATTTTGTAAGACAACATTTTAAAAGTAAAAATGTAATAATTTCCAAGAGGGTTCTTACAGCATTTGCTAGGAAATTAGTGAATAAGAAGAGATATTAAGATGTTTGTCATAATATTGCACATAGTATTTTCTGTTTAAATACAATTTAAAGACGACCATTATAATTTTGTTTTTTAAGAGCTTTGAAGTTCCTTAATAACATGAACATAAGAAATAATAATTACAATATACTATAACTCATAACACACTTGATATAGGCAGAAAACTTTTACCTGTATCTTTGTATACCTATAATTTGTATACTTTTTGTCCCAAAAGAAGACCAAGTGCAACTTTTAATTAAGTTATTGTTTTCCTTATTTTCCTTGCTTATTGTGGAAACTTCAAAGGAAATTAAATGGCAGTACTCAATCATTCATATTTTTTACTGTTGAAGATAATCTTATTTTACTGAACTAGTTGTGTTATAAGGCCTACAGAATGTTTTCTCCTAGCTGTGGAGAGAGAGATTCAGGCTGAGTCTCCAAGGGTCAAACCAAAGAGGCCAGGTTTAATTTATCTTTTTTTTTATATTATTATTTTTTATGCCAATACTTAACCATCTATGTTCTTTTTTCTTTTTTTGATTTTTATTTAATTATTTTTTAAAATTTATATCTAAGTTAGCATGTAGCGGCAACAATGATTTCAGGAGTAGATTCCTGAATGCCCCTTACCCATTTAATCCATCCCACAACCCCTCCAGTAACCCTCTGTTTGTTTTCCATATTTAAGAGTCTCTTGTGTTTTTGTCCCCCTCCCTGTTTTTATATTATTTTTGCTTCCCTTCCCTTATGTTCATCTGTTTTGTATCTTAAAGTCCTCTTATGAGTGAAGTCATATGATATTTGTCTTTCTCTGACTGACTAATTTCACTTAACATAATACCCTCTAGTTCCATCCACATAGTTGCGAATAGCAAGATTTCATTGTTTTTGATTGCCGAGTCATACTCCATTGTATATATATATACCATATCTTCTTTATCCATTCATCCATCGATGGACATTTGGGCTCTTTTCATACTTTGGCTATTGTTGATAGTCCTAACAATATGTATGCATTTTAAACTTTAATGCAAGCTAATCATAGTGTTGATTATATTATTGATAATATGCTTACTCTGTCAGATGCTGGATTTATGTTATATAATTTAATTTTCTCAACAATCCCATTTTATAGAAACAATCCTCTTGATAGAAAGGAGGAAATTGTGTTTCCGATCTGTTTAAGCAATTTGAGCTAGTAATTAATTTACAGAGCTGGCTTCTGAGAAGTGTCCTGTTCCAAAACCTGTGCTCTTAACCAATTGATTAGTCTATTTTCCATTTCTGTAGAGTGGGAAATGTATAATAAAAAAAGATTTCTGTTGATCAGTATAATTGACTTTGTTGCCAGTGTTTCTAGATATTTGCTTTCCTGAATTTGAATCCTTTGCTCATGCTCATTGTTAATTTCATTGATGGAAGGATGATCAGAGACATAATTTTGTAAGCAGTATAATTATTTTTCCCAACCAGTCCCACCTTACTTATTCCCATTGTTTTTGAATAGGAGGGGAAAAAAGAGACCATGGATTTTTTGAATTTTCAAAATTACTAACCTATTTTGGTAATTGCAAGGACAAAAAGAATATTTTAGGAAAATGTATTTGTTTGAACAGTGTGATTAAATGGTCAGGATATTGGCCTGGTAATTGGAAAACAAAATTACCTTGAAAAAAAATAATGTGTCACTTTATTCCTTAATGATTAAATTAGGATATTATTTACTGTTTTTTTTTAATGGGGAAGCTGTGAAAGGCATTGTAATTATTTCAATCATGTGTTTAAGCTATATAAACAGATAATTTAAAATGACAATTTAAAAGATGTTTTAATTTTTTTTTAGAAAAAAATCTTAGCATTTCTGAAACATAGCTATTTCTGAAAGATGTTATTGCAGGAAGAACCCTGCTTGATTTAAATCTTTCATAGAAACATTTGTCCTGAAGAAGAAAACACATTTTGTATAAAGAGTAATACATGTCTTCTATTTTTGGAATTTTGATCTCTCATTTGGTGTTATCTGCTTTTCTTAATGTTACCATAATTACTTTTTTAGTGTATTTTGGGATCTCTACTGTGCAGCTCCAGAAAGACGGGAAACATGTGAGCATTCAAGTGAAGCAAAAGCCTTCCATGATTATGTGAGTTAATGTTTAATTGAACTAAGTTATATTGTTAGTTTTCTTTTTAACCACTACTCTTGAAAAATTCATTGGACCATCTATTCTTTTTCTTTGGTTTTAAGAAACTGGGTGTTATTTTTTTCTTAAAAATTAGAGTTATAACTTTAAAGCGAAATACAAATGAGTGTTTGTCTTGTTGAAAAGCTTAAGATACAAGGTTAGTCTTAATTCCGAGTTGTTAAACGTATTTTTTTATCTTTAAGCATGCCTGATTTGTGAAATTTCAGATTTATAAAAATGAAGTAGTAATTCTTTATTTTACAAAAGGAGTCATGAGAATACTACAAATGATAAGTTTCTCTTTTGCACATAAGATTTAAAAAATACATAAAGATACTATTTTCTTCTTTTTTATACCTTTCGGTTACATATCAGAACTATCCTTTATACTGAATTAATTTCTACAACTAAAACTTATTGTGAATTAAGGGAAACAGCAAAAGATGCTATGCAAAAATGAAAATGTGATTTTTAAATCTTTTTTTAATTTTTTAATTCTGAGTGGAGGACAGTAGATTGTCCCTGGCTAAGTGATGTATATTGAGAATTTTGTTAGAATAACTGCAAATGTGATTTTAGAGAGTTGATGATATTAGGAAGTAGAATTGTAGAAAATAGGAGGGGGGAAAAAACAAAATTTTTTTTTTTTTAGGGAAAAATTGCATTTAAGAATAAGATAGTATTGTGACGGGTCTGGGGAAATACTGTTTGTAGAATTGACCATAAAGGAAGGACATCTTGAGTTTGGGAGGAAGGAAACCCAATGTCCTTAGCTTGGAGGAGGTGGAAATGGGGCTGGAACCTGAGGAGATATCTGATGGTAACTACCTAAAACTTAACCAGAGGGTTATTTGTTATTTGTTTACTTGGTAGAAGGGGGACATCATTCTGTGTGAATAGCCTTAAAAACCAAAACCAGGACTCAAAAGGGAAAAAGACTTTGTTCTTCCAAATGACATACTTCAGTCTCAGACTAAAGCGTTGAAACAGCCAGGAGAATTACAGCCCTAAAAGTAGCACTAGGAACAGTGTGCAGGCTGAAGAGAAGGGAAAGTTTGGGCATCTGGCAGGGACTGTGTAATACTTTAACTGTGTACTAAGCCGATTAAAGTGACTGCCTGTGCTTGCCTCATCTGACATTGATTGTATTCATAAAGCTTGCTCCGTACCAAACAATAGCTCTTGGGTGAGTGAGTGAAACGGATGCTTTTGCATGTAAAGAAAATGTAGAGAAAATCCAGGTAAGGCAGAATCTAGGACACAGTATTTATGGCAGAAAGTAGAGCAGAGATCCAACCATGATGATGATAAGGAATCTGGCTAGAGTGGGATACTTGCATCTCATCTATCTCCTACACCAAAAAGACATGTCTAGCTTTGACCTGCCATTCATGGAAAACCTTTTTGAAATACCCAATAATTTTGACAAGTAGATGGCATTCGATAGTGCCAGTATTCTACTCCAAAGGACAATAATATTTGTGAATCTACATTTTAAGGAATTAATTATGTAAATAATTTTTCAAAATTCCATTGTATAGAAAAATGCACCCTACTGTTTACCATAGAGATCTTACAGGGAATACTGAACTAATTTAGCATGTCTTAGAAGCATTAGATAAATCATCATTGTCATAGCCTCCTCCTCTACCTCTTCCTCATCATCATCCTCATCATCATTGTCCTATTAATTTTGCATTCATGAGGCATTTTCAGTATTTCAGAGAATATTCACACTTGTTAGCTTTAGAAACTCACTTAAAATTCCAAAGTTTTTGAGCATGAGCATTGGCTAGAAGTACAATTGAAAGTAGAATAGATTTTCAAGGAAGAATAATCCCTTAGCATGTAATTTGGTCCTAAAAAATGTAGTTTAGAAAAAAATTAAGTATTTGGATTTTATAATTCATTATGAATATTAGCACATGCTTTATCAGATGTTTTCTAATTTTATCTTAAATATTAGTTTTAAGAGATTTGATTTATTTTAGGCAGCATTTTTATTATACCTTTAAGCCAATTTAGTTTCAGTGATAATATGTCTCCAAAATTGTCTTTTAAATGAAGGTTTGTGAAGAGGTTGACTTACATAATTTTATGTTATAATTGGATTTTTAGAAATACATTTTTTGTAGCATAATTTTATGGTAATTTTCATGAGTAGGATTTCCTGACTTCTTAATAGTAGATAGTTTCTGAAAATAATCAACACAATTCATGTTTAATGTGCAGATATAGAAATTTGAAAGACTCAGGGAAGAAAATGGGAAACAGGAACAAACAATAAGATTGTGGCAAAATTCTAGAATTCTGTATTTCTTTATTAGAGTTCATGATGGGACCATTTCTGTAATAGTAATTAATATGTATACCTACTGCCTTTCAAGGTAGCTCTCAAAGGAGCATTCTGAAAATATTTTGTTCAAGAGCTTCATCTTTAGAATAAAAAAGTACTTGCATGCATAAATTCTCATATGTTTAAAAAATAGTCTTGTTACTTTATAGTCTTTGTTTATATGATTGATAATGGATAATGAAAAATAGACTACTTTTTTAAAAGAAATGATAGAGGCATAATGAGGTGAATAATGAATAATCTTTTTAATTAAAAAACAGCCTAAATTGTTAAAAATGATTACCTTTTGATATTGGGATTATGCAAAATACTTTCTGTATTTTCCAAATACTTACAGTTAATTTTATATTCGGGAAATTTATTTTAAAACAGAGAAACTTTTACCTTTCAGTGACTACCTTACAATGTCTCTTCGAAATTAGAAAATAACTAATTTAGTAAAATATCACATATTTGAGGTGGTTCTGTGTTTTTAAATGCTGTAGGCATTTATGAAAGACTTTTGCTTTTTGTATGTGCACATATACACATACATATGTATGTGTACATATGATCTATAAACTGAATAGATGTAACTTTTAGGCCATTGTATAACTTTTAATAAACTCTTTTTTTGGTAATTATTATCCCAGAAACATTTTTGGCTTTTATTTAATATTTTTTTGGTGGGGGGTTGTTTTTTGACCTCTTTAGAATATGGATTTTTGTCACTCTATTATTTTATTTGCCAAGTGATCATTGATGCAATGTTCATACCCTTTCCCTCAAAAAATTACCTGTTCATACTTCCTGTGAGAAAAAGTGAAAACAAAATAAAACATTTAAGATGAGTAAAACCTTGATCTTCTTGGATTTATATTTAAAATGTATTAAATATTTAGCATCTATATGCAGTGCTATTTGTAAAATAATGACACATTTGGAAATCAACAGTAAATAGTGTACAGGCATGCACTTTTGGGTGACAAAGAGAAAACACAAGGAAATGATTATTATACAAGTTAGAATATGGGAAATGGGAAGAGGTTATGATTGGGATGGGGCTCATGGAAAAGGCTTTTGAGATATTTGGCAAAATTCTATTTTGCCTGACCATGGTGATGATTAATTTATAATAACCATGTGCTTGCTTTATAATATTTCATAAAAATGCCATACATTTATTTTGTATTTTTTCTATATTTGTAATTTTGAAAAATGTTAAAATAGCAAGATATTATAATATAGTTAAGGTAATTAACTTTAGAAAGGAATAAACACAGTATTTTCCAATGTATTTACGGGTATTGCTAAGGTTCCTCTTTGAGAACTGATGGCAGGAAAATACAGTGATGATCTCCAAACAAATCTGTTTCTTCTCTGCTATGGTAGATAGTGTGAAGTTATGTCTACCTGTTGATTTTCTAGAGGGGAGTGGAAAATAAGATCAGAAATGCTGGAGGAAAGTTTAATAATTAGGAATTTATCATATGAGAGGGTATAGACATTTTACTATGGAGCCATTATTTTGCCACATGACTGGGAGATAACTAACTTGGTACTGTAATTTTTATCCTGAGTGAAAACTAGGTTTATCTGAGCTGTAAAATTATTATTAGATGCTACAATATTATCATTAAAAGTAAGCCGTCACCTCACATGATTAAAACTAATACATGCTAACTTGTAATGTTTATTGAACTAGCTTTTCTTTTCTCCCCATTAGTATGTTTCTGTTTTACTCTGAAATCACAGGCAATGCTTTTACGTGGAATTAATTAATATTTACTAGATTTTTTTTGTGCTTCAGATTAACATAGAGTTGTTTTATTTAACAATTCGTTTCTAATTTCATTCATTTCCTAAAAAAGTATCAATATATACTATTAAACTTAATGAGAAATGTATACAGTGATTATAATTTTAGTTCTCTGGTATGAATGAAGATTCCTTAATTGTCCTAAAGCAGTGATAGAGCCAAAATATATCATTGCTTTAGTGTGGTGGTAATGAAATCACATTATTACAATGAGCTCTTGGAGAGCACAGTATTCGATTTGTTTTTCCCTCGGGTCTGTCAAATAATAGATAGTTCGATAAATGTTAACAGAATATAGTAGTCTGTAAGTCTGGTAGACTGGAGAGGTTTTAAGTTGTTCAAATGTTCAGATAAAGTTGTAGGCTTAAGTTATGATTGTTGATAACATGATGCTGATTTTTGTATTCTTACCTAAGAGAATGTTTATAACATCTAGAAAGGATTATGTTATAGGTTTGTCATGATAGGATACTTTTAAAAAATGATACACAACATGTAATATTATGTAAATAAAACAATAGGGGAATGTTTTTATCATACCTTATGAAAATTGTTTTTGCAGATAATCATATATTATATAGGAAAATACTTCTGTAGAAAGTATAACAGTGAATATAGTCAATAATTTTATAATAACTTTGTATGGTGACAGATAGTAACTACACTTATGGTAACCATTTTGTAATGTATATAAATGTCAAATCACCATTTTGCACACCTGAAACTAATATATTATATATCAGTTATACTTCAATTAAAAAAATACATTTTTCTAAAAAGAAAAAAAACTATTGCAGAGAGTTA